ACTGTACTGAGTTCTCATATACTTAGGAGACCAGCCTGACAAAATATTTAGGATGTGCAGAAAATAAAAACATAAAGAATTAATGTATAATAGGGATAAAAAGAAATAGAATATATAAAGTCTCCTATCTAAATACAAGAAAATCCATGAGAAGAACCCAGCAGTTAAATATTCCAAGTTTCAAAATAGTTTTAAAAAGAATAATAGAAAAAACAATCCAAGATAATTACAATTCAATCTGAACAGTAGAGTAAGTCAAATAGATATAGAGGATTGAAGAGAGCAGATTATTAGATATAATATAAAAGAAGGAGTATATCAAGACCACCTAATTGAAATATTTTAATGAAATCAACAATCCAAAGAAACATTGGTTTTTTACTTTGATGAATCTCTTATCAACCATGGATATGAAAAAATGAAGATGGGAGTAGCATGGGTACAAATAAGAAAAGAAAGTAGAGAAAGTAAGTTCTAAATGTGAGTAGGTGACTAGCCATCATCCACTAGAGTTGAGCTAGTAGCAATAGTTACAATATTACTAGTTGTTCCAATAAACAATAAGGTCAATATTTTTACAGACAGTAAAGTCTATATTGTTAAGTAGAAAATAATAGAGAAAGAGAATCCCAGAAGAACTTACAAAAGATGGTTAAGGTAAAGAACTGGTTTTTATAGGTAAGAATATTGAATATTGTTAAAAAAAAAGAATTGGATTTGGGAATTGGTCAAGGTTAAAGTACACTTTAATGATCCTTATAATGAAGAAGCAGATACTTTAGCAAAGGAAGCCTTAATGCTCTCTGTGATCAAATGGAAGAATCTTACTTCATCTAAAATTATTACTGAAATCAAATGGCATAAAATGACTTTAGATAATCCTATAAGAAAGTTTATTAAAAATATAAATAACAAAGTTACAGCTTATCAATGGACTAAACAAAATAGGATTTCAAATAAATGGAATTAACAGATTCAAGATCAATATGACTATACATGGAATTTAATATGGAAAAGGATGAATAATGGACCAAGGATGGTACAACAAGCATAGAGAATCATTAAAACATTCTAGGATTATATTTATAAAGCAAATAGTTAGTATATATCAAACACAACTACTACTATAGCATCAAGTTGAAGGCCTATATAACAAAACCATCAAAAGAAAAGAATCAAACTGATATCATAAACTTATAACAATTGTAGCAAACTTTTTCAAGACAAGAACAATTTTGACAAACTTAATATGTTTACTCAAGTTGAGTTTACAATCTTCAGCTCAAATATATTTGTATAATATATTACTATAGTAAATAATAAACTCATAGTCAAAAAAAGAATCAGTAACAATTTAAATCACACAAAAATTATACACTTTTAGTATTCAAATTACTCTTTTTTCACCAACTGTACAAGCTGCAACTAAATAAACATATCAGATAGTAAAAGTAACAAATACTTCATAAAGATATATAACAGGGATCTTACAAAAACCCAGTATTATTCATTGCCTAATCAGTCTCAATAAATAATAGTAAACAAAATATTTGAACACAAATTTCTCCTAGTAGTATTGTTAAATGGTTAACTCAACCAAATCAATTATTCAAGACAATAATAATAGATCTATATCCAAAACATATTACAATTCTCAATAAGTTAGTAAAACTATCAGATAATACTATTGTATACTTTAAAAAATAAATAGTAGTCTCGGTTATTTGAATAAGATTGATATCTTCTATAATAGAACCTACAACTTTATCAAAGATATTAATCACATTAGTATTGGAATCATTCTTTAAAACAATATAATATAACTGTAAAGATTTTAGTATATATTATAATCAAAGAATTCAATGACTTTTAGCCATTGCATTAGATTTAAGTTTAACAAGGTATAATACTATATGTCACATATATATTGACTCATTTATTGCAATTAGTGAAATTCAGGTAACATCCAAAAATAGTATAAAAAGGTGTTGATACCTCTATATTATAGACTTATATGAATACAATAACAAAAAGAGATTTAAACTGCACTTAATATAAAGTAAGCAAGAAAGATATCTCAAAAAAACACAAACTAATAAACCAGCTAGCCAAAATTTGTCTAAATAATCCCAATACAATCCATATAACTGGACTCCCTAACTATACAGACAATTTAAACTTAATAATCTATAAATTCTTAGATACTGAGATCATATAAAATATCAAGAAAATTATTGATTATATATAATAAACAAAACATATTATAGCATAGAATATACTTAAACATAATTTTAATTTATCAATAGAATAAAGAAAACAAATAGACTGAAAAAATTCTATTATTAATCTCTAATCTTTCAATATAAACTTATTACTATACAACTTATAGAACCAGAAAAATCATACTTTTGCACTTCAACTTTGGAATTATAAACTTCTTATAATGAACAAATTATATATATGTCATTTAAATATATATATAACAAATAAATATTTTAGATATTTAAAGACAGAAGACCAAAACTATCTTTATATATGCAAGATATATAAACTTAATATTAAAACCTTATAGTCAATACAATTACCAAAAAAATCTTAGTAAAAATATAATAATCAATATATATAAATCTTAAATTATAATTATAGCTAAAATGAAGAAACATAAAATCTGAAAGATTATAATTGAAAAGAAATTATCAAAAATATTACTTAAATTATTATCATGTATCTAAACAAAAGCAAAACTATTGAAATAATTCAAGATATCATCAAATATATTAGATTTATTACTTTCAATATATAAAAATCAGATAATGAAATTAACTATATCAAGATCAAATTTAAAAAATATAATAAAATCCAATAATATTATATATAGAAAATATAAATACTTATTAATATAACAATTATCATAAATATAGTCAGTTTTAACAAATCTATCTATAATATTTTTGAAATATATATTAATGGAATCTAGGTACATTAGCTTTTCTATAAAGACAACATGTCACAAAGAGTTTTAAGACAAACCAACTTTCTTACAAAATAAATAAAAATAACATAGAAAAAATCTGATTGCAAAATTGCTTTATAATTTGAAGTAATATATATCTTTTTATACCTAATAAAGTGGACCTATTATTGATATAAAAAAAAAAAAAAAAAGTAAATTTGAAGTAACAAAGGAACTTTAAATCTATTCCACATCAATGATAAATTGTTTCTTGAAAGGCCCTAAGAATGAATAAAGTTTGTCAAACTTTTAATTATGTGATAATTATATCAATTAAATTTGTGGATTTGTCAAACTCTTATTATAAGTTGTGATTCCGGTCAACATTAGATTTATGATTTCAATAAAATTGATTTGTAATTCCGGTTGACATTAAATTTGTAATTCCGGCTGACATTAGTTCATAACTCTGGTTGACACTAAATTGTAGTTCCAATAGAATTAAAATTATAATTTCAGCCGGCATTACGATTTTTCGCGATAATCACATTTTACTCTGAGATGTCACAATAATGATCGTACCCGTAATCTATAGATTAGCCTTTTTATTAGTTTTAGTAACTTTAATAACTGTATTTTGTATTTATATACAGTAATATGCACCAGCTAAAATAAAGATTAGCCAATAAAATTCCTAGAGCTTAGTCCTGCTCTAGAAACTATAAATGCTATATGGCACAGTAAATTTAGAAAGAACTTATAAAATACACAAAAAAAGACTTTTATTATTAATTAGACGAGTGCTTGAATGTTCAATTGCTTTGCGAATTCCATCTATTGTGGTCTTACTAATAAATTAGGGGAAAAAAGACTATATACAGTAGGTCAAACTAGCTAATCAAAGAACACTTCTATCGAAAAACAATTGTTCTAGAATAATGACATATCGTTGTACGTACAAGAAAATTGAGACATTAAAATGTTCGAAAGGTGTTTCGTATATTCACAGCGTCCCGGAATTTAAAAAACACCTAAAATTAATTTTATCCTCCGTAAAACTTGAGACCACGCCTGTAGAAAATGTACGAATCCGATTAATTCTAACTATTCATTTTAACCTTTATTATGGCGACTAAAATATCAGGTGAAATGTATACTAACCTCGTCATTTAACTTTTTCACACTCATCTGTCCATTCTCTACTAATGACCTTGCCAATTTTCCGACATAACTTGCGTAGAACTCTAAGAGTAGATAATTATCCGGAGAGTACTTCAGATTTTTTGTCAATTCAGTTATCACCTTACATATAAACGTTAATAATTTTTTAATTTCTTATTTGCAAACCAAACAAGGTTCGGGTCTTCGGGGGTTTAGAGAAAGGATGGAGAACCATTATAGGGCCTAGACTCAATAGAAGTGATTCGATTGATTCCTAAGACGTTATTAAGGCGAAAGAAAGAGTCTATGTTAGTCTATTTAGACTTAATGATGGGTGAATTGATAAGCTGAGATAGGAATAAGGTAACATACTATGTCATCGTGATAAACTTTTCTCACTTCCAACCAGTAAAGGTATAAGTAGCAGATTTGCTCATTATATGAAATATATCTAGCGGAAAATTCAAAGATCGTTAATATTGCTAATGGTTCTTTACTAAGAAAAAGAATCCCTCGCCTGTTTTAACGATAACATAGGCATATTTATACCCGATTTAAATGCTTCATCTGCCTTTCGTTTATTCTTGAGCGTATCTAGGAACATCAAGAATATCGGTTAATAATTCGACTAGTTTAACATGTTTTATTTTTTAGCATACTATATACCTTTTTTTAATAAATTTAACTTTCTAGATGAACGAGGTGACGTACCTCTTCCGGAATGGAAGTATTTTGCTCAGCGCTATGGATCGGATAATAGAGAAAGAATTTTTGCGGAAGAAAGAGTTAGAATATTGCGTGGTAAAAAAAATTATTCGAAAGAGGAACTAAATATCGGCCGCTTGAAAAAAAAAAAAACTGTACTTATCTAAATATTTCGCCGGGAATGAATTCTAAAGAGTAAGAGTCCAGTTAAGACCAAGAGACCGAGAACTAATACACTTGCACGGTGAAGATAAGAGACCGAGAGACCAAATACGCTTAGCGACGAGCCCGGCGAGGACGAGACCGATGATCAAATAGACTTAGCGAAGGGTCCTGTGAGACCAAGAGACCAAGACCCTCATCTTACGAGCAAGCCCCAACTCTTCAACTGTTATAATGAAAGTACATAATCGATTCCTCCTCCAGAATCAATAGACATTATTACAGGTGCAATTCAAAGAGTTTGAAAAAGGCGTGCCTTTCAGAGTAATTGAAATCCCATCACTCAGGCAACACAGGTCGTGCCCTTACGCGCTAATGACCTTCGGATCCTGCGCGAGAACTTTCAAAATAATAAATGACCTTTTTATGTATGTACATTATGTCATATGATTACTGATCTACATCGCGTTAACAAAATATAAATAACTTTTATCATCAGCCGTTTTACGTAATAAAATAATAAGATTAGCCATGATAAAAATAGAGAACATCACTCTTTTATCCTTTCACGTTTACACCCCGTAAAAACAAATAATTCTTTTACACCATGAAAATTTCTTCGTGGTTACGAGAATCGGGGTTGTCGTGAAAAACATTAGGAATACCTTCAATTCAATTATAAATGAGCTGCACGTCAATTTTCCGCTGAAGGTCTTCAAGAAGTCGATACGTGCATCACTAAAAAATCACTGTTCAAAGAAGGTTGGAACCAAGTGTGTCCTAAAAGTAAAGGCTAAATAACGTTATGAAAAGGGATAGAGCGTTATCTAAAAAGTCACCAGCTCACATAAAAATATTCAACTGGATCGAAGAATATAGTGCATCGTTATCTAAGCAATCCAAACAGTTCAAATTATGTGATAAAATTAAATTTTAAAAACTTTAAAAGATAGAATTATGTAGAAATACTATATTTTTAATAGTAATTAGTAAAACCAATTAATGGTAGAATTATTATACAGTATATCCAAATCGAACGCAGTATTCGAAAAAACACGGATATATACATCTGCTACCGCTAATAATAATCACGACAGAAGCACCTCGCCTCCGCCAGTAAAACAAGAGTTTTCACTCTCAAGCAATCGCCAGTCTGATAAAGAGGTCAAAATAGTGAAATCGGTCCAAGCAGTTACCGAAGATAAGCTGAAACCAGAAGAAGCAAAATTGTTGAGCATTTTTACACATTCGTGGAAAACGAACTGTATAAATTCCTCATCGAGTACGAAAATATCATCCCCGCAAAGGTTGTAGAGACTTTTACCAAGAAAAGAAATCCCCCGATTAGCTCTGATTTCAGAGACGCCGATCTTTCGAGCATGCTCAATTTTGCTGCCGAGCATATCGATATTTTTTTAGACAAATCGGTTGGTTTTTCACGGTCTATACAAGGCAACCCTGTAAAGATCAAGGACTTCAAGGAGAACGTGCGACATAAAATGGCACACGAATTTCTACGAACGGAGAAGGTCGCTGGAGCGATCTTGCGATAAAAAATGTCACTTATTTTTCATGTCATATCGTTGCCTGTAGGTAAATAATTTATTCTAACTTCACATTAGAGCAATTATATACTGTATATTGATTTTTTTTTTTTTTTTTTTTTTAATCTAACACCGGGGGTAACTATGAGGATATGTATGCCGTCAGAGAAGAGGTTGACAATGAAATTGCTCAGAAATTAATAGAAAGGGCGGTTACAAAAAGAGTCAATATCACCAAAAAGGAAAGATCAACGATAGCTCTTGTGAAATGACAGAATTCTTCATGAACTTTCTTGAAGAGGTTGAGGAGAGCGAAAAGGGACAGAAGCAGGAAATTATGAAAATGGCATTGAGAGGACGAGCGTTTGGCGCGGATTTGGGAAATGGTCGTTACGCAGAAAAGCAAGAAAGAGCAAATTCGAAAATACATTGAGTTTGTGAACATGATGTTCGATATTGTAAGTATTTGAGTATTCGATGACTTACTATGAATGACAATATGGCAGATTCGGAACTCAACGTCAATGGAAAGAGTTGTACGAGAGATGTGAAAAAAAGACGAGAGTAGGCTGACTCATTTTATTAGATGCCGTAAATAACAAGGACCGCAAAAAAGTCCGAGTTATCATGTGATGGATATAGGAAAAAGTATCGTGAATATACTGCATATTGTTTTGCCCGTAACATGGTCCCTATTCTTCCGACTCATTTCAAATAGTAAATTTAAAATAAGATTGAGCTACGTATGTATAAATTAAAATTAAAAGATTAACCAATACTCTTAAAGGATTTCGGCCACAATGATTTACGAAATGAAAACATATGATGACTTGTAAACAGTCTTGTAACAAACAGTAAGTAATCATAATTCAGAAGAATTAACGGATTTTAATAATGTCTGCCGTTTCCACTGTTACTCCTGTCTCTGTCCTGCCTACTCATTCGCAACGCTACACGTGTTTGGCTTGTCAAGTCGCTTTTGAAACTGCTGGGAACCAGAGAAGTCACTATGGCACTGACTGGCATCGTTACAATTTAAAAAGAAAAGTCGCCGAGTTACCTCCCGTCACGTATAGTGCGTTCGAACAAAAGGTTCTAGGTAACATACACTTTCGGTTCACAAATATATTTCATCACTTTAAGCATAGAGGTTTGGTAGCCTGATCTGATTGATTATTATATGCAGCTCAACAAGCCCTCAGTAAGAATGCAGCCGAAGAGATCAGTTTCTCTGCTGAATGTTCTGCTTGCGGGTGTGGTATTATTTATTATACTGTTGGCATATTTCTTGAGGAACTGCATTGAAATTATAACAACTAATTTCAATCAAATTTGAAAGCAAAACTTATTATTCAAAAAACGCATACGCGAATCATTTGCAATCTAATAAGCACAAGGTTTCTGAAGTCAAAGCTACTCAAGAGGGTAGATAATTCTGTTTTATTTGTTGCTTCTGGAAGACCGGTTGGTAAAATGTCTGTCTAATTAAATTACCAATTCTAATATTCGATAATTTATTCACTTAGGCAAATTACAAAAGAAGAAACTCCCAACAATCTTACACAAAGATGGAGACACTCTGCGGAAAGAGGAGACGCAACAAAGCATTGAAGAGGTATTATTGTCTAGTGCTCATTTATTTTTAAAATGTAAGGAGGATGAAATTGATTTTCAAATCAAACATTTATTTAGATAATCGACAAAAAAATTCTAACCTCCGTACGATTAGAAGAGACTGATTGTCTTTTCTGCACCCACAAATCCAAATCCTTTGACGCCAATATGACGCATATGACTAAAATTCATAGCTTTTTTATTCCGGAGGTCGAATATTTGGTAGACCTTCATGGTTTGATTAAATATTTAGGCGAAAAAATTTCGGTCGGGAATGTATGCCTATACTGCAATGGGAGGGGTAAGAGTTTAAGGAGTCTTGAAGCAGTGAGAAAGCATATGGTGTGTAGATCATCAGTCACTTCATTATTTTTGTTTTGTCAAATTGCACTGTGCTAATTGTTTAATCATTTCCGCAACTCGGATTTGAATTAGATCGATAAAGGTCATTGCAAGATAGCTTATGATAGAGACGAGGATGTGATGGAGATTGTAGATTTTTATGACTTTACTTCAAGCTATCCGGTTGAGGGAAGCGAAGAAGGATGGGAACACGTCGATGATGAGGAATGGGAGGATGTTGAAGATGATGTAGACAGTAGTGTGGGCAAAAGTGAACACCCCATGAGGTATATAACGTATTCCAGCATAGTTTAGGCGATTCTGTAATTTTTCTTTGCTCATCGGATCTTCTCCTGTTCAGTGGTTTAATATATGAAGATGACACGGAACTAGTGTTACCCTCTGGAGCCCGCATTGGACATCGTTCGCTATGGAAATATTACAAACAAAGCCTGCGGCCTGAAGAGGTGAGAATTAATGGTGTATTGGTTTTTCAATATTCTAATATTGACGACATCTTTATCGTTAGGAACGCGATTCTGTCATCATTAACCGTCTCATCACTCAATATGGGGAAAGTTTTGGTTACACTCGAAATTCTGGAGGTGTCCTTGCCACCAAAGGCAGTCAAGTCAAGCGATCTCGCGCCACGATTTTCCAAGAGAAACATCGTCAACAAGAATTCGATTTGCGTGTCGGCGTGAAGGCCAATAAGTTACAACGTCATTATAGGGCCCAAATATTGTAAATTACAAAATACATCAATAATGCGTGTTTATAAGAAAATTCATGTTAACCACTGAGATTTCAACTAATTTTATAATAAACAAATATGATAATCTATTGGTCGTATTTCTCACGGGATTTCCCGTTATTTTTGCTCAACATCTCGCGTATAAACGTTGAACTCAATTTAAGTTTTTTAAACTCTTCATCCTTTAAGGATGAGTCAGAAGAAGATATCACCTCAATAACCGAAATTTCTAAGGGATTGAGACCTCTATTCTTTCGTTCTTCGTTTACTAAATCGAATCGAATGGAAGGGGGTTTATAACTGAATTTTAAGGAAGCTGTGGGAAGAAACAGACGAGTAGGTGAAGGAGACATACTAGAATAAGCACCAGACACTGTTTCCTTGGATACAACTAAAGCTTGGATATCTGGGTCGGTGATTGTTGGACCATAGATATCATATATTGGTACCACCTGTGTGATTGAGAGTAAGATGAGCTAGTAGTGTAGGACAATAAAAATATAAGTTCCCATACGACAATCATTTACCTCGTACAATAGACCCCGACGGATAATATTTAGAAATCTCTTGGCTTCCGCGATCCGAACGTCGATTGGTTCCATATATTCTTTATACTTCTTATTTGTGAGCATTGAGTCTCCTAGGAATCCGAGGGTCTCGCGTCATAAGATTATCATCAATCTTTGGTTACTTTTAGAACGCATAATTGCTAGCAAGGACTCACCGGTGACTCCACAAATTAACCTTTTGTTGGTGATCCATGCCGACATTGTTAACAGAATCTTGTGTCCCACATGCAAGTGATCAAAAGTTCCACCAACAGCAACGTTCGGATGCACCTGAGGTTTATCATCGTCCAACTTGTCGATGGGATCATGATGATTTGTGATAATTTGAGGTGATGGGGGTGTGATGGTGTCAATTACGTGTATGGGAAGTTCCGTTAATTCGGCTGCTTTTCGATTCTTGTTAAACTTTTCTAATGTGGGGCGCTCTATATTCATGAATTCAATCAATAAATTACACGAAAACAAAATGGAACGATACAAAGCTGGAAATGTGACAATATTCTTACCCAAGTTGTTCCCGAAGAATACTTCGAATTCCCATTCTCTCTCTAATTCCACCGAATACCCACACCAATTCTCGAAGATCACCTCAATTTCAAGGAATGGCCTCGAGAGTTTATAAGACGTTTTTGTTCCAGACACGTAAAAGGTGTTCAATAAATTGTTAACTTTATCCCAAAACTTTAGTGGTGACTTTTTGCAAAGGTCTATATCTTTGCAGGAAACATATATAACCAAACACTTGTAAGTATTATTGACCGCCGATTCGATTAATTCCCGGTGGTGATTAGTGAAGGAGGTTAGGGAAGGTAGTGTGACTCGAAGCAGCGAGGAATTATAGTTTGGCATCCTTGCGTGATATTTATTATATTTGTTGGAAAACCTTGGTCGTGAAGTGACAATCTCTCCCGCAAATTGGATTACATACAAATTAGGGATGGACGCCCGGTACACGGTAGACAATTTTGGAAACATTTTCGCGTCAATAGTATTCCCGAAATAGATCGTAAATTTTTTTTTGCAATAACAGGTTGGTAGCGTGCATTTATTATTACTTTGTACAAAATAATAAATAGTGTTAAAATTAAACCTTCCATTAACAAACTGCCGAAATCTCCAAATTTGGTCGTGGGAACAATACGTTTCTTAATTATTTTGGATCCTAGTAACTCACTTTATGGTCAGTTACTGTAATTGTTAAAGTCAATTGTTTTTCATGATGTTGAAAATTATAGTAGGAAAGACCACTCCCTAAAAAATTCATTTTAACTTTTTAAGCTTTAAAAATTTTTAAATTAAATAGTCCATCATATATTTTTTAACATAAAAAATTGATGTGAGTATAATATAACTCAATAATTTATAAAATCAAAAATTTTTAACTTAATATTCTTATTGTTTTACTATAAAAATTATATTCAAAATTTTATTAAAATAAGTATTTTTTGAAAAAAATTTTAAAAACATTAAAGTTAAAATTGAATTTTTCAACAATCATCTTATTAAATTTTTTGATAATAATTCAAATTTTAATTTAAAAATTTTTGATTTTATAAATTATTGAGTTATACTGTATTATACTCATATCAATTTTTATATTAAAAAATTTTTTTAAATCTATTTGTATAAAACAGATTGTCTATATAAAAAAAAAAAAAAAAAACAATATATTAGATAAATAAAAAATCACTGTTTAAAAAAGATTGAAATCAAGTGTGTTTTGAAAGTAAAGATTCTCACTAGGTAATAAATTTCCTTAGATGATATATGAAAAGAAAATCAAGATTAAGAATAGATAAATTCCTTAAAGGTTAATAAAAGAAAGGATATCTCAATCAACAATTTCTTATTAAGAAGAAGTCTTGAGAAGTAGATCTTTAGAGAAAGTTGAAAATTTTTTTTTCAATTTTTACTTTTTTATTTTCTTGTTATCTATTTAAATATTTTTAGATATTCTCCTTCCTTTTTTTTTCAACCTATCTTTTTATAGTTTTCTATATTTTATGACAAGTTGATTAGATTAGAATAATAGTTTGACTATAATATATATCATACTTCTCAAATAAAAATATACTTATGTTTTCAATTGATTAATAAACTATTAATCTAGTTTGACTACGGGTACTAAAAAAAAAATAAATAAATAAAAAATAAATAAAAAAACAATATAAAAAATTCTAATATTTTTTAAAAATTTTGATATTTTTAAAAAATGATATATTGATATTTTATTAATATATATACAGTTGCTTTCAAAAGTTTGAGTCTACTTACAATATTTTTATTATAAATTTCAACTTTGACAATTGTTAAATCATTAACTATATAGTCAAAAATTATAAAATTATATATACAATATTATGTTTTAATACCTATTCTATTTCTTATATTTTTTAAAAAATTTTATTAATATATTCTAAAGTTTTATTATTGTTAAATATTTTTATTTTTTTATTAATTATCATATGATTTACAATAATAGCTGATCAAAATCCTCCAAAAACAAAATTTGATAAAGAAAGAAATTTTTGAACAATAATAAAACTTTAAAAATTATATATCAAAAATTTTTAAAAAAATTATAATAAATAAAACTAGTATTAAGATATAATATATATAAATTTTATAATTTTTAGTTATATAATTAAGAATTTAAAAATTGCCAAAGTTGAAATTTATAATAAAAACATAGCAACTGGACTCAAATTTTTGGAACTAACTGTATATATATGATACATATAAATAAATAAAAATCATTAATATATATAATATACTGTATATAAATAAGTAATAAAAATATATCTACACTCCTTTTCTTTCATATTATGAGTATAAATAGTGGTCATACAACCATATTTCACATAATATTCTGAATAACAATTCATTATCTTTACTTTACAATAAATTGTCATGATTACAAATATTGTAATAATAATAATTGATCATATCATTTTTATTTAACAAAAAATAAATTGATGTCTATTTATATAAAATTTACATATGTTCAAACTTTTAATATAAGTTCAAGCATATGTCAATAAAACTTTTTTTTTTTAAACCTTCTGTCAGGCTAGTTATATATGCTTTATTAAACAATTGTAAGCTGTACATATAGTATGAATCACTAAAGCCAAAACTTTAACTAGCTCACTTGTCTTAGTAATTACTTTAAATACAACTTTGGAAGTAATTTTTCACTTCATTAAAAGTTCAGGTGAAGACCCTTCCAACTTTTAATATCATTGCCTGCAGGTCACTGCTGCAGATTACTCTTTGCAGTTCTGACAGAACTCAAAATCCAGCCATTTTATTCTGAATCTAACCCCTTTTGATAAGATATCTGTGAGACCTTGATCTTCTAATCTTTCTTCTTCTATTA